CCCCAGAAGGCCATCGGAGCCCCCGGGAGGCCATCGAAGTCCCCGAGAGGCGCCGAGGGGACGCTTCGCAGAGGGCTCCGAGAAGGTCCAGACCCGGGCGAGACTCCTGAAGGTGATCGTTTTCTATGTATTGTGTTGCCGATCGGCGCGGGCCCTCGCGCATCCCCGCCCCCTCCCTTGGAGTGGATCTTTGGTGTTTTTGGCGCCTGTTTCAAGCAGGTGGGGCCCCTACCCCATAGGACGCACGGTTCCATACAGTCGCATTATGCAGAGGTCCAGAACCAGACCCCCCGTCATTCCGCCAAATGTCGAACCGCCGATTTAAAAACGCCCACAAGCGCGGCCCAAGAAATCCAAATGTACAGTTATTCCAGCGTCCTGTCGGTAGACCTCCCGCGCACCGCGCGCCTCAGCGGCCCCAGTGCGGACACGACGGCACGGACGGGAACGTCGCGACGGCGAGCGCTTCGCGCCATCACGGCGTCGCGGGCCGCGACGTCCGCCATGCACGCGGTGCCGTGCCCATCGCACGTGCAGGCGCCGCATATCATTGCATTTGCATCGCCTCGTTTCCCTTCCGCCCATTCCTCCCGTCCAAGGGCCTGGATGGTGGTAATATTATGGTTCCCAAGGTGGCCGAAATATTACAAGCAACACCGAAGTCTAGGATCATCTTGCCCCTGTGGAGACAACCCCCTGTGTTGGTCTTGGTGCCTTTCCACGCCTCCAGCGAATCTCTTCCCGACCCTGCTTGGACCCCTGCTCCTGCAGCCGCCGTCCCCGTCGCCGCCGCCGTTCGGTTGACCCCATCGCAATGATCGAACACGCAGGGCTTGACCACGCAATGCCACACAATGCCATGTCATGCTACGCTCTGACCATGTGGCGCCTTTGTTCGGCGACACGCGCTGACAATGCGTGTTTTTGGTGTTCGAGGGGACTACCTGGGACCCTTGTTAGGTTATCTTCTGGACGTCCCGATACGCCTGTGACTTGTGGCAAGCTTCTTCGGAGCAGAGTTTCGCTCGTTTGCAAGGGTTCTTGGGTTTTTTTTTGTTTCCACACCATGTCGGACAGATTCCACGTGCGGGAGGCCACGGGTCAGTTTTAGTGTTTTAGTAGTCTATAGAGGAGCCGCGTGCCGAAAGGAAAAAACGCCAAATGCCGGGAAACGGCTCCGAGACGGTCCGGAGGCCGCCCCGACGGCCCAAAGACGCTTCCGAGCCGCTCCAAGACGGCTCCGACCCGCTCAAGATGCCCCGAAGGCGGCCCAAGAGGGCCCCGAGACGCGCAATGATCCGGCCAAGACGCCCGAGATTGGCCCAAGACGGCCCATGAGCCCCCCAAGACGGCTCAACAGGCCTCCCAAGAGGCCTCCCAAGAGAGCCCCGAGAGGCCAAAAACGTTGATTTTCATTTGTTGTTTCCGAGGTTTTTTGCTTCCTGGCTTTTTCGGCTTCCCGACGCTCCGACCCCCCCCCTCCAGAGGCATCCAAGACCGCTCCAAGACGGTCCACGAGGGCCCCAAGATGGTCCAAGGCGGCCCCAGGACGGCCCCAGAGGCGCCCAAGACAGGCCAACGGGACCCCAAGATGGCCCGAATAGCGACCCAAGATGGCTCCAAGACGGCCCGAGGACCGCCCAAGAAGGCCCTAGGGGGCCCCACGACAGCCCAAGGGGCGCGATAGACGAGCCCAGAGAGGCCCACGAGGCCCCCAGGAACCCAAAAGAAGTCACCAAACGGCCCAAGAGCTCCCCAAGACGGCCCAACAGGCCTCCAAAGAGGCCTCCCAAGAGAGCCCCGAGAGGCCAAAATCGTTGTCTTTCATTGGTTCTTCCGAGGTTTTTTGCTTCCTCGCTTTCTCGGCTTCCCCACGAGGTCCCCCAGAGGACCCCCAGACGGTCCTAGAGGGCCCCAAGACGGTCCAAGGCGGCCCCAGGACGGCCCCAGAGGCGCCCAAGACAGGCCAACGGGACCCCAAGATGGCCCGAATAGCGGCCCAAGATGGCTCCAAGACGGCCCGAGGACCGTCCAAGAAGGCCCTCGAAGGCCCCACGACAGCCCAAGGGGCGCGATAGACGAGCCCAGAGAGGCCCACGAGGCCCCCAGGAGCCCAACAGAGGTCTCCAAGAGGTGCCACGGGGCTTCCAAACTGCTTCGAAGAGAGGGGGGCGGACCAGGGGACCGCCTCAGGAACGGCCCAATAGGCCTCCCAAGAGGCCTCCCAAGAGAGCCCCGAGAGGTCAACATCGTTGATTTTCATTGGTTCTTCCAAGGTTTTTCGCTTCCACGCTTTTCTGGCTTCCCGACGCTCCGAACCCCCCCAGAGGCATCCAAGATCGATCCAAAACGGTCCAAGAGGTTCCCAAGAGGACCCCCAGACGGTCCAAGGACAATGATGCATTTCCTATGGAAAACGAGCCACTTTCAAGTTCCTGCTGACGAGGTTCCCTGCCAGCTCCCAGTGCGTGCTTCTCCCCGCGCCCTCGCGTTCTTTTCGGTTGCCTCGGGCCCCCTGTCCGGACCTTCTGGCGCCTCGGGGCCCTCTTCCGGCCCTCCGCGGCCTCCTCCGGGCTCTCTTGGGATTTCTTCCGGCGCTCCGATATGCTTCCGGAGGCGCCTTGCAAGCTCAGCGGCCTCCCCCGCGCGCCCAAACTGGCCCCTTCGACGTCCCTGGAAGCTCAGCAGCCCCGTTCCTGCTGACGAGGTTCCCGGTGCGTGCTTTTCCCCGCGCCTTCGCGTTCTTTGCGGCCCCACCAGGGGCTGGGTACTGTTCGTTTTGAGCGCCCCTCAAAACGAACACCTGGAAGCTCTTTCTGGTTCCGTCCTGGCGCCCTCGAGGCCCTTCCCCAGACGGCCTTGACACCGCGAGGAGCTTCCCAAAGGATCCCAACAACATCTCAGGAACTTTGAAGAGAGCCCCGAGAGACGCCTAGGAAGGCCCCGCGAGAGGCCGCGCTCTGTTCGTTTTGAGCGCCTCTAAACACGAATACCACGAAGCTCTTTTTGGTTCCGTCCTGGCGCCCTCGGAGGCCCCTACCGAGACGGCCTTGAAGCCGCGAGGAGCCCCCCAAAGGAGCCCAAGAAGATCTCAGGAACTTCGAAGAGAGCCCCGACAGAGGCCTAGGAAGGTCCCGCGAGAGGCCGCGCTCTGTTCGTTTTGAGCGCCCCTCAAAACGAACACCACGAAGCTCTTCTTGGTCCCGTCCTGGCGCCCTCGAGGCCCCTACCGAGACGGCCTGGAAGCCGCGAGGACCTTCCCAAAGGAGCCCAAGAAGATCTCAGACGCTTCGAAGAGAGCCCCGAGAGACGCCTGGGAAGGCCCCACCAGGGGCTGGGCACTGTTCGTTTTGAGCGCCCCTCAAAACGAACACCTGGAAGCTCTTTCTGGTTCCGTCCTGGCGCCCTTGAGGCCCCTCCAGAGACGGCCTTGGCACCGCGAGGAGCTTCCCAAAGGAGCCCAAGAAGATCTCAGGAACTTCGCGAAGAGAGCCCCGAGAGAGGCATAGGAAGACCCCGCGAGAGGCCGCGCTCTGTTCGTCTTGAGCGCCCCTCAAAACGAACACCACGAAGCTCTTCTTGGTCCCGTCCTGGCGCCCTCCAGGCCCTTACCGAGACGGCCTTGAACACGCGAGGACCTTCCCACAGGAGCCCAAGAAGATCGCAGACACTTCGAAGAGAGCCCGAGAGAGGCCAGCGAAGGCACCACCAGGGGCTGGGCACTGTTTTGAGCGCCGCTCAAAACGAACACCTCGAAGCTCTGTTTGTTTCCGTCCTGGCGCCCTCGAGGCCCCTGCCAAGAGGGCCTTGGAGCCGCGACGCCCCCCCCAAACGAGCCGAAAAAGACCTCAGACGCTTCGAAGAGAGCCCGAGAGAGGCCCGGGAAACAGTTCTTCGAGCGCCCCTCAAAACGAACACCTCGAAGCTCATTTTTGTTCCGTCCTGGCGCCCTCGAGGCCCCTACCAAGACGGCCTTGAAGCCGGGGGGGGGCGTCCCAAAGGAGCCCAAGAAGATCTCAGACGCTTCGAAGGGAGCCCGGGAGAGGCCTGGGAAGGCCCCACCACGGGCTGGGCACTGTTCGTTTTGAGCGCCCCTCAACACGAACACCTGGAAGCTCTGTTTTGTTCCGTCTGGCGCCCTCGAGGCCCCTCCCGAGACGGCCTTGAAACCGCGAGGAGCCCCCGAAAGGAACCCAAGAAGATCTCAGGAACTTCGAAGAGAGCCCCGACGGAGGCCTAGGAAGACCCCGCGAGAGGCCGCGCTCTGTTCGTTGTGAGCGCCCTTCAAAACGAACACCACGAAGCTTTTTGGGGTTCCGTCCTGGCGCCCTCCAGGCCCTTATCGAGACGGCCTTGAAGCCGCGATGAGCTTCCCAAAGGAACCCAAGAATATCCCAGGAACTTCGAAGAGAGCCCCGAGAGAGGCCGAGGAAGACCCCGCGAGACTGGGCCCTGCCGACGCCTTCGACGCAATCTCATTTTTTTGACGCCTTGCCGAAGGGTGTTGTCGCTCTGCGTTCCAGCGCTGCAGAGGGACAAGCGGGAAAACCCGAAGGAGAGGAGAAAGAAGAGGAAGATGAGGGACAGGATGAGAGGGACGAGGATGATCAGGAGGGCACTGAGAAGGATAAGGGAGTCAGGAGGAGGAGGAGGAGGAGGAGGAGGACGAGGAGCAGGAGGAGGAGGAATAGGAGGAGGAGGAGGAGGAGGAGGAGACGGAAACGGAGGAGCAGGAGGAACAGAAGCAACAAAAGGATAATGAGGTGGATGGGAAGACATCCGTGTTCTTCTCCCCGGCTGCTCCATCGCGCCTCCGTTCCCAATGCGTTTTGCACATGGCCCGATCGAGCCTCCTCATCTCCCATGCTCCCCAATCAGGCGGCGCTCAAGGTGCTCGGCGACATGTGGAAGGCGAACCTGACGCCATCCATCGTGATCGCCTGACGGCAGCGCCTCATCACTTCGCAAGTGGACGGAGTCCACGGGTCAGCCCTAGTCAGCTACAACGCTGGGATCAGCGCGTGCGAGAAGGGCGAGCAGTGGCAGTGGGCGCTGGCGCTGCTCAGCGAGATGTGCGAGGCGAAGGTGGAACCCAACGTCGTCTACACTGGAATGCTCGCGGCAGCGCGTGTGAGAAGTGTCCAGGAAACGACAAGCGGCCCACGAAACTTCTAAACGACCCCAATACGTCCTTCCGTATGTATCAAACAGATGAGGCCCAAACAGAGCTTTCAGACATCAGTGAACATTGGGGGGCATGTGCTTGTTTTTTTGTGTTTATGCAGTTCCCAGCCTCTCGGCGCACGACCGTTTCAGTACGATTATCCAAATGGGGTTGCCTTATAGGAGTCTCAGCTCAAACCCTACTGATTGGTCCGTTGCCCCCCTAATTCGTATGCCCCCCCTTCATTCTCCAAATAGGCTTACCCTATAGGAGTCCTAGCTCGAACCTCACTAATTGTTCCGTTCCCCCCTTAATTCCTACGGCTATGGCTATGCCTATGCCTATACTTCCCCCCTAACTCCGATGCCTACGCCTATGCCTATGCCTGATTGCGCGCTTGCGCGCTTGCTTGCACGCTCGCTCGCTTGCTGAGTTGCGGATTCCAAGTGTGCTTGATTCCTCTGATTTTTTGATTTGAGTCGTCTAATCTATTTGGAGGCAACGCTGGCTGATATTTCCTGTTAACAGAGACCCAACGCTTCTATACAATGACCCGGCCGCAAGATGGCCCCAAGAAGGTTTCCAGAAGACCCCTGAAGGTTTTCCGTATGGCCTGAGCCAGAAGGCCCGTGAATCTTTCAAGTTCGCCTCGGGCACCTTAACACGGACCCAGCTGGCCCAGAGACGTTTTAATCTTTCTTCACGACGGCCCTGGAGGCCTCCGAGTCGACCCCAGAGGGCGCCAAGAGAATTCCCATGAGGACCCGAGAACATTACAATGATTTCTCATGCGCGCCTCCCCGAGGGAGTACAGCTCAGAGGCGATTGATTAAGGCTTCCGTCGTGTTCATCGGTTCGGTTGCTCAGGACATCCTCATCATTCTTCAAATCGGGCGCATTCTTCACGCAGATAGCGACGTCACGGTCCGAAAACACAGCTTTGTTTTGAACCATTTTAACATACAGCCTTCAAAAACACAATGGGATTAAAGGATTTTGAGCCCGATTCTCTTGAATATCGCAGTTTCGGCTGAGACATCTTCCAACTTCCGATCCCTTTTTGACAACCATTCTTAGGACAAAGGCATTTTCGCCTGAAACATCCTCCCAACATTGAGCTCCGACGCACAACGCAAAGAAACACACATAAACACACAGCGCACACACAGGCAACCACACACACACACACCTATTTCGTCGCAGCGCGGCAGAGGCGATCCGCACGCGCGCCCTAGTGAGCCGGGCTTGGGCACGCACACGCTGTCCAGCGTCCAGAAATGAGGCCACGGCTGCGAGCGGTCGCGGAGGGCGGGAATGCACACACACACACACACACACATACACACAGACACCACGCACACAACACAACACATTCAGAGAACACACGGACACACACACTACATCTACAACGCACATGACACAAACACGTGTACACTTTTTGGCGATCGCGGCCCCGCGCGCAGTGACGAGGCAACGCAAGTCAATCACACCGGACCCAACACACACATACACACACACCTACACGCGCACGCACGCACGCACGCACGCACGCACACACACACACACACACACACACACAGACACACACACACAAACGCGCGCACACACGCAAACACACACAGGCGCACACACACACACACACACACACACACACACACGCGCGCGCACAGACATTCCACAACACACACACACACAACACACACAACACACGCACCACACACAACGCACACTAGCATACAACAGGCGCAAATACACACATCTAAAACACACAACACGCAGAACGCACATATTCACACCTGACTCACACATAGCAAACACTACACACACCACGCGCAGACAGCACACAACATACAACACTCACAGCACACATTACTCACGACACTCGCATCCAGCATGAGTGTTTGTATGATCCTGGACACGTTCGTGCCACTTGTATTTGATTCAGGTTTCGAAGGATATCAGCTTTCTTGCCGTCTTGCGCATCTGACGGCCGAAATCGTCCCCAGAAGCCTCCAAGCGGCCCCCAAGAGAGCCCCAAAGCGGCACAAGAGGGTCCCGGCATGGCCCAAGAGGCTCCCCTTAGGTCTGCCTCCGAGACGGGGCCCAAGACGGCCTCCAGAACGACGGCCCTAGGCCTCCGAGTCGGCCCAAGAGGGCTCCGAGAGGCCCTCTAGGAGGGCCCGAGGATGCCCAAACCATGGATCCCCCGAGTGCTTGTACTCGACGGGCCCCAAGCGGCCCCATCGGCTGTGAAGATGGCGCACGAGACAGCCCAGGAGGCCCCCGCGACGACCCCTAAGAGAGCCCTGGAGCATCCCAAGAGGCCCCTGCGACGTCGCCAAGAGGCTGGCGCAGGGCTCCCCTTGTCGGATCGCTGGCGAGTGCGCCCCACGGGTACACACTAGTCAGCTACCACGTTGGGATCGGCGCGTGCGAGAAAGCCAACTGTCTTTGCCCAGAAGGCTGGTTCCTCCCTAGGCCGAGTCGGGGAGGCCTCCCGAGAAGCGCGATGGCCATTGCGTCGCCCGCAGCATGAAGGCTTTGCCCCTCGCAGCTCTCCGACGTACTAGGGGCACGTGGACATTTCACGGGCGGCTTGTGCCTGCTTTCCCCAGACGTGCTGGTGGCGCCTTCCAGGCTTGTCGAGGTGCATCTTTTCTCGAGACACGGGTTCCAGTTGATGAGCGGTTTTTTATTCATTATTTTGCCGATCGGCGCGGGCCCTCGCACCTCCTCCTCCCCCCCCCCTGGAGTGGATCTTGGCTGTTTTGTGGCGCCTGTTTCGAGCAGGTGGAGTCTCCCCTTGTAGGACACACGGCCCCAAACAGTCGCACTAAGCAGATGTCTGGAGCCAGACCCCCCCCCTTCCGCGCAATGTCGAAACTCCGAATGAAAAGGTGGTCTCTTGAACTGCATGCAGCTGCTCCAGCAGGTCTCGGCCCGTGGAGCTCTTGAGCGCCCAGTGGGGCCTCAAGCTCGGCCCTCGCAGGCAGGGGGTGCGCTCCGCGACGCTCCTTGGGGCGGGTTTCGGACCCAGCCTTGCATGTGATGTAGAGCGCCCGCTGAGGACGCCCAGGCAGTTCCTCGTCCCCCCGGACCGCGCGAGCCGACCTCTCTGAGGAGTCTATGGTGGCTCTCGGTGGCCCTGCGGAGCCTTCTGTGGGCTGCCGTGGAGCCGTCCCAGCTCGGCGCCTCCGGGGGGACCGCCGGATTTCACACCCACGAGGGCAGCGATGTCACGTTATATTTGTTTCCAGAGTCTGATGCGACGGTTCTGGTTTCCATGGGTCATCGCGGATTTCCGCCGCCGAGCGAGGCGGCTCCAGCCGCATTTTGGGGAGGGCACCTCCCCCGATCCATGGATTTGACGACCCCGCGCCAAATCCACGGATCGCTAATCCATGTGTGCGCGCCCCCGAGATGTCAAGGTACTCTTCGACATGCAGTTTCGTGCTAGATGGTTTTCTAGAGGCGGATCCAGAGGGCGCCAGTCCGAGCGCCCACGGCTACCGCACCTGCACCGGGTGGCTGTATGTAAGTCGGCCCTGTCCCTCTACAGGAGGAATGCCCAACAAAAGTCACAAACAAATCGTATGTTTTTTCCGTTTTTTATGATTGTTTTTCCGTCCAAAATCCGCCTGTAGGGGGACATGCCCGACCTAAGGCGGTATTCGGTGGCGTTGCTTTTGCCTTGCCATTCAGCAGGGCCATGTACCACCACCACCGAGAGCCCATCGGCAGGGGACCGACCCCTGGGCGGTGGAACGCCCGCGCGTCACCCAGTACAGGATGCCGTTCAGGCGTTTCAGGCTTGTTCCGAACAGTTTGCCAGGAAGGTTCCTAATCACTTATCTAAGCACAGCCGAGGGTAATCTCCTCGAGATCCGGACTCGGGGGTCCGTGGTCTCCCTTATGGTCTCTCGTATGGTCTCCCGTGTGGTCTTCCGTCTAGTCTGCCGTAAGGTCTTCCGTATGGTTTCCCGTTTGGTCTCTCGTTTGGTCCCATGTTATCCCGTATGGATGGTCTTTGCCGGATCTTCCATTTTGGTCTCCCATATGAGCGCTTCTTGTCTCCCTCCAGGTCTCCCTGATGGTATCCCCGATGGTCCTGTTTGTGGTCTACCTGGCGGCCTCCATCCTGGCCTCCCCTGTGGCCTCCCTTTATGATCCCAACGGTCTCCCTCGTGCTCTCCACTATCGGGTTCCCTAATGGTCCACGCAACCGTTTACTTTCTAAAGTGCTCTCGGTGTAGGACTTTTCAGTACACTAGAAATCAGTTCAGGGTCTGCTGCCACCAAGAGTATCAGTACACTTTTTCCGTCGGCGGCGAGGCGGGGCAATCCGCTCCAGCATGGCAGCGATAATAACGAGTATCATTACACGGCCTCTCCCCAAATTGTGCCGAAGGGGTGTCGTGGCAGACGAGCGACTCTTTCTTGCGCGGTTTCGATGGAAATCGAGCTGTCTGTGACTTGTATCCACGGTTCCGCCCTGGTTGCCTACAGCGCTGGGGCCAGCGCGTGTGAGAAGGGCGAGCAGTGGCAGCGATCTCTGGCGCTGGTTTCCGAGATGCTGGAGGCAAAGTTGGAGCCCAACGTCATCTCTCTTACAGTGCAGGAGCCCGCGCTTGCGAAGAGGGCCTCTGCCCCGATCGATGTTTTTTGTTGCCCCCCCCCCCCCCCGGAAGCTATCGAAGCCCGACGAGAGACCCCCCAAAGGTCCCCAAGATGCCTCCCAAACCGTCTCGAGCTCTGGGCTCGCGCTGGCCACCCAGGAGAATTCAGGGTCCCGTATGTTTTTGTTGATGTCCTTCCTTCTTCTGGAGCGGCTCTGGGTCTGAGCGGACGACCTGGTCGAAGATGTTTGTTCGGAGAGTGTTCCAGACCCGCAGGCCGCCAGGGGCATGCTCCGTAGCGCCACTTTCTGCCTGTTCCCGAGCCCGCGCAGCTCGCGCGCCTCCTTCGACCTACGGTCAGAGCCACGATGGAGCATCGTTGGGAAATCGTACGCGCGTGTGTTTCCGAATTTCCTCCCTGCCATGGTGCAGGTCCAAGGCGGCTCAAGATCGTCACAGGGCGGCCCAAGACGCCCCTTCCGACCGCGCCCTTGCCCCCAAGACCCAGCCTGGCTCCAAGGTAGCCCAAGAAGTCCCAAAGAAGGCATGAGCAGGCCAACATTCAGCCAAAGGGAGCCTAGTGCAGTTTCCGGCAGCAAGCAGTAGCAAGCAGCAAACAAGCCAGCCGACATTCAAGCCAGCCAGAAAACAAGCAAGCACACACCAAGCAACGAGCAAGCCAGCAAGCCAGAAAGCAAGCATATAACAAGCCAACACAATCAGGCAAGCTGTTCGCAAGCAGCATAAACAGCAACAATCACGCGCTGGACACGCTGGTTGACGTGGACGGTGGCCGCGGGTCAGCCTTCGTCTCCTCTACATTGCAGGAGCCCGCGCGCGCCAGCAGGCGCTGTGCACCACTTGGGTTTTTCTGCCTCCGAGAGGCCCCAGGAGGCCGAAAAGCGCTCCTGGGGCAGCTTCGACAGCCCTGTCGGCCTCGGGCCACGCCCTATGTGCGGCTCACAGAGCCCAACGACGGCCGAAGAGGCACCCAATACAGCCCCAACACGGCATCAGTTTGCTAGACGACGGCTCACGAGGCCCCCCAGATGCTCCAAGCGTGGTCCAACAGGGCCTCCAAGGCAGCCCCAAAAAGGCCCAAATCGTCCCAATCCTCTTGGGAAGCGTACATGTTGGGAATGTGGTGTCCCCGCTCCCTCCCCCCTGTCTACACGGCGTTGCAGCAGGCTCTCGAGGAGCCCGACACTCCCCCCAAAAGACAGCCTCAGAGGCTTCCGTGAGTGCCCCCAGACGGCCCACGACGGCCCCAGGACGGTCTTGCAAGAGGCGCCCAAGACGGCCCAAGAGGACCCTACAGAGGCTCAAAGAGCGGCGCAAGGGCCCCCAAACACCCCCAGAGGCGCCCTAGAGAGCCCCAGACGACCTAATGACGGCCCAAGTAGCGCCAAGGACAGCCCAGGAGAGTAAGAGGCCCCCACGCAGCTGCCCACCCCCCAAGGGGTTTTCAGCTTGCCTCCACGAGGACAGGGCGCAGCATGGGCGAGAGGCTTTGCGCAGGTCCAGCAGACTCGTTCCAGACGCTCCACGGAGCCTGGATGCTCGTCTCCACGCAGATTCCAAGCAGCCCCAAGAGGCTTCAATATTACCTCCACGAGGGCAGTGCGGAGCAGAGGCGAGAGGCTTCTGCGCAGGCCCAGTCGAATCGTTTTCGACGCTCCATGGGGCCTGATTGCTTGTCTCCTGGAGCAACAGAAAAGAGCAACGAGCAGCACCATGCCGTAGGCCGCAGCAGCAGGCAGCAAAAGCAAAGGTGAAGTCCAGGCCAAACGTCATCACGAAAGTCCTTCGGCAACATCTCTGATCTGGCCGCATGTGTCATCTCGGACAGTTGTTGTTGCCAGTAGGTCACGGGTCAGCCCTAGTCTTACCTACATTGCAGGCATACGTGCTTGCGAAGAGGGCCTGTCAATCAAAACCCGATAAAACTCGCCCGGGCGCCTCCGGCGAGCTCGAGGACGAAATTCAACGGTCTGTATTTCCTGTGCTTGACCATCTATGCAGCCGGTGGCCCCTGGCCGCCACCTTTGAGGGCCGCATCGATATTTGCCAGCGCCGCATGGTAGGCTTACTCATGCGGGTGCCGCGGCGAACTGGTGAACTGGCTCCGAATCACTTCCGCCGTAGGGCTCGTGAGGCCAAGGATGTAAGCCAGCAGAGGCTTTGGTGGAGCCATCGCTTTTGCTCCCGTGTCTTGGATTGGCGGGCGCACCTTGAACGACCCCGCAGCAGTCGTTAATGTGCAAAGCCAGAGCCTTACAGTAGTCATCAACCTCGCCCTTTTCTTGTATGATCATTCGAAGAACTTCCTTTCTCTTGGCTTCTGCTCCTCGGTGCGCCGCTCGTGTTCTCCTCCCGCTTCTATCCTTCGCCCCCCTTTTTCTATCCTTAGCCACTCTCGGCCCCCTTTCTCCGTCATTCGGTTGGCCCCAGATGTGGCCCTCGAGGCTTTTGTATCAGACCTACCCTCCTCTCTTCTTTGTCGTCCCTCCCCTGCGTGGCTGTCCAAACCATTGCGGCACATGCACGAACAAACACCAAACACATCTGTTATGTCATGTTCTGCTCGGGTATGTTTTTTTTGATATGCAGGTGTCCATTATGTTGTCATGATATTGATATGTTATGTTCTGCCATGTTCTGTCATGCTCTTGCTCTGCTCTGTCATGTTCTGTTGTGTCATATGGTGTTTTGTCGAGTTTGTCGAGGGCGCGACGCGGGACACCCAGGATTCTCGGGACAATTTGGAGTCTGGCGGCCGTGGCATGCAAGGTGTGTTCTGTTGTGTTTGTCGAGGGCGCGAGGCGGGATAACTGGGGCGCTCGGAGCAACTTGCGGTCTGGCGGCCGCGGTATGCAGGGTGTGTTCTGTCGTGTTTGTCGAGGGCGCGAGGCGGGATAACCGGGACACTCGGGACAACTTGGGGTCTGGCGGCCGCGGCATGCAGGGTGTGTTCTGTCGTGTTTGTCGAGGGCGCGAGGCGGGATAACCGGGACACTCGGGACAACTTGGGGTCTGGCGGCCGCGGTATGCAGGGTTGGA